GACCTTGTTCCAGCTCTGCAGAGCTAGTGATGGCCCCATAAGGTATGGATAATCCTCCTGGACTACTGCAGAATGGCAGGAGGAAAGACTCAGATGCAGCAGGGGCAATCTGTAGTCATGTTCACTGTCCTGACACCTCTCATCAGAGCATCAACAGATRAGAGACCTGCTGGCACCCCTGATTCATGCCCTACAAGTACAGAGAGGACTAAGTCAGGAAATATATACCCAGGGAAATAAAATATCCACTACACCCAGGGAAATATTTGCAAACCTGGAAGGTTTAACAAGCCTCTTGTTTGCAAAGTTATTCATGCTTTAAAGATTGAGGTTGGCTTCTGCTTCCAGTCCATGCTAAATGGGCAGCAAGTTTCTGAAAATTGCTCTGTGCACACACACACATTCCAGCACTAAGCAAGTGCTTCTCTCTCAGCTGAGAAAGGACAGGCTTCAAAACCAGCAGGCAGAATAACCTTGGCATGTTATCCTGCGAGTGAGATACAACAGAAGGCTGTTCTTCAAGGCTTTTCATTCAAAACAGTTGTACAAACAGTGAAATAGGTTTATATAAGCAGGAAAGAGCACACTCGCTTCCTGAGCAGCAGCATAAACCATTAACTAACTTCCTGAAGGTTTGGGTTGTTTCAAGTATTTCACATCTTGAAAGGTCAACAATTTCACTAATGGGGAAAAGCCCTGGAGCCTATGTCTAACCAGTTTTCTCTGCAGAGCGAACACTTGGATGGCATTTATCTTGAGGCTATCAATATTTACTAAAGATGGTTATAACGTCACTTACCTCTTGCTGTGCTAGTAATGRAGAACACAGCCCACAAAAACAGGAAAGCAAATGGACTTATACTGTGTACAAGCCTATGGKAAAACCCCTGGGATCCTCCTTCTCACACAGGACATTTCACAGGGTCATAGGATTAGAAGGMAATTCAGGTTGAAAGAGACTTATGGAAATCTCTAACCTTCTGCCTAAAGCAGGATCTACTCTGAGGACAGATGTGGTTCAGTGCTCTACCCAATCTGGTTTTGAAGCCCTTCATGGACAGAGACAGCACAGCCTCTCTGGGCAAGCTTTTATTACCTGACTGCCTTCAGAGTTAAGGTTTTTCAACATATCCAGCCCAAACCCCTCATCTGAACTCACTTCAAATCTTGTGTCTCATCATGTCTTCATGAGCTGCTTTGAAGATCTTGGCTCAAACTTCTCAGTGACCTCCTTGAAGGTACTGGCAGGCTGCTGGGCTCCTTCTCCAGGCTGAACAAGMCCAGCTTGACCACGCCATTGCTTTTGTGCAGTTGTGGACCACAGCCTGGGATCCAGCCAGGAGGGCACTTGTGCTATGAGTCTGGCTTTTYTAACAGGAGTAACAAATCATGCATGAATTCTGCATGCACAGAAGTGAAGGAAATGTCAATATTTCCTTCATTAAGAAAAGTAAGTAAAAGAAGACCAAGAGGAAATTTCAGGTATGACTCCCACTTTCAAATGTTTCTATTTTGTTTTTCCCTGCTTTAAATGCAAGTTTGAGATGGACTTAAATCAAACCCCCAAAAGCAAATGCTACTGAATGCTGGAGGATTGAATTCCATCCCTTCTATTTCTCTGCCCTCTGTCATTACAATAAGCTGATGAAATATCTCCACATTTCCTGTTCTCTAAGTGTCCAGGTATTCAAATTCACCTCCAATTTTTTTTTTTTTTTTAATCTCAAAGCAGGTCTCTCATCCCAGCTAGCCTTCATGTCAGACTTTTACCATTTACAACACAGGGTGTTCTCTTTTATGAATCTCTGTTTATGATCCTTCTGAAATAAAATGATCAGCAAGCAGAGAAAGAGACCAAGGAAATTAGCCAGAACATGATGGAGAGCAATAGTAGCAGTTACTATCCACTGCACCAGCAGCACAATGTGCACACTTGGGTTATTTATGAAGAGGTAGTGCTGTCCAAGGCAGATGCCCAGCTGCCAACAAACACACTTTGTCATAATGACGCTGATATTTACAGCTTTTATTAAATCCCTACCTCCTGGATTCACAGGGATTGAGAGATTTTTATGTTCTAACATGCCCCAGTTTCCAACTCATTCTTTGAGGGGGCTCATACATGTTTTGGACACATAGTATCAGCTTGCATAAGGAAAGGTGTTTTACAAAATGTGCCAGGTATCTCTTGAAGACTAAAATTTTAAAACCTTGAAGGCCTGATTTTAAAACCACCTCCAGGCAACCTTCAAATTTTGCAGGCATGATTATGTGCAGATACCAAGACAGAGGCTGTTTGCGAACAGGAGGCCTTTAATGTTTTATTTTCTGGCTTCATGTCCTGTATTTTTCTGTTCTGTAGAATCATAGCACATCCTGTAAATGTAGATTTTTTTYCCAGCATTAATGGAGCCTGCCCTTTGTGAAGCACTGAGTTATTCACAAGAAGTGCACTCTGCTACAAAGCAGAGCATGTCCAGAATAGAAAAGGCTGTAAACAACTATTTATTCCACTTCCACTGCAGATCTAGAAGGTTCTGTTCAACAATAGAAAGCCATATCTCAGACATACCCTGCTGCAGCCAGCATGGTTAGTAGCTAACACAGAGGCCCAGTATTTCTATCAGTATCAGTCCTACTGCAGTGGGAAGGGAGCTTTTGCCTTGACCTGTACCTGTCCTGCTAGGCAGCACATTTTTGGGCTGCTCCTGGSTGATGGCCACTCTTTTCAGAGTCTGAGATAGAAGGTATAAAGCAGAAAAGCAGAATCAGATCCTATTAAATGAGGTTCTATTTAGGATTACTGAATTAGATCCAAGGACAGCCAAGGTGAGATACCCTAGGTGCAGTGCTGCCAAGCCAAACAGGGTTTTGCCTTCTCGACAGCCTCATACAGACCCCAGGCCTGTGGATGCTGCAGCTTATGGGGCTGGGAGAAGCTGTGGGTGGGGTGGAAAGACCCCGTGGCACAAACTCCTGCRAAGTCCACAGCAGTTTCTCTGGAGTAGGCAAAGCTCTGAGAAAGAGCCTGAGTGGCATGAAGCATCCCTAGAGATGAACTATCACTGCCAAAACTTGACAGTTTTTCTTACTTTTCTTRCATAAGTAAGAAATCCAAGCACACACAGGGCTCACCCTCCATCTCTCATGCTGCCCAGGATGTATCCTTGCCTGCAGACATCTCCATCCTCTTCCACACTCTCAGGCACCAGGACACAACTGGGGTACCCATGGCTCTCTGCCCTGCTCACCCCAGCACTCAATCAAAGCTGTCACTGTCAGCAGAAGCCTTGAAAGGTTTGAGGACACACACAATGTCACTTGTGGATAAAAAGACACAGGATGTGACTGATGAGCTGAATGCACTCGCTGCCTCCATGCAAGCCCTTCATTTGGGGTATGGGAGAGTGGGGACAGACAAATCCACAAAAAAAAGGATTCARTGCTGACCCTGACAATGAGGGAAGAGCATCAACACTACTTTCTGTAGGCTGTGGCAGCCTGAGCTTTCCAGGGAGACCAGGTGACCCAGTGAAGAGATTTCTATTGGCTTCGGAAAGACAAATTCACAGCCTGAGCCATTGTATCAGTGAAATTGTCTTCTTGCTGTAACATAAAGGTTAAACTGCAATAAAGTAGCCAAGGCATCAATTCAACAATAGGAATTCATAAAGGCCATCCTTTTGCTGGAGTAATTTTGGCCAAACTGCACAGACTTTCCAGTTTATACCAGCTAAACATGAAGCCCATGGTAACAGAGCAATGTGCTCTTACAGTACTAAACCAGTATTGATGTACAGTACATGTCCTGGCTACTTGCCAAGCCCAAATTAACCACCCGAGCTAGTGCAATGGATGGCTAGAGGCAAAAATGTAACTGCCATCATGTCAATATTAGGACTGGTCTAAGGAATTCATCATCAAACTATTACTCCTAAAAACAGCCTCACAGTGGTAGAAAAATGTTGATTTCATTTAACTGGAGCAAAGTTCTATTGGCTGACCCCAGGCATATTACTATAATTGATTTTTTAATATCAGTGCAAGTATATAACCATTTTATTCTTTTGTTTCCCTATACTTTGAAAGTTCTGAACCAATGCCCTAATGTCAGCTCATATAAGGGATCTGGAACATCATCTTTCCATCCCCAGGGATGTTTCACACTGGGGATTTCACACTGAGGAAGTTCAGTGTTTTAATCCTACCATCCAAGCTGCTCACCTGCACTGACACGGTTAACAGGAGAGCAGGGAGGGACCTGTGTGCATTTGCAACACCTGCTTTGAGAAGTCAGAGATTAATGCTCAGGGATGTGTTTGCCAAAGGCAGGAAAGCAGAGGAGAAAGCAGCCTGATCCCTACTTTCCTCTCTGTCCTCTGAATACCTCCACCCCTGGACTAAGAGGAGCAAACTAGGACTGAAGGGAGGTTTGGCTTGCCTGTGGTAGAAATTGGTGGAGCTTGGCCCCCAAGAAGCTTCTGTGCTTCAAGGAGAAGATCCACTCACATTTCTGATGGGTTTATCAAGACTGCAGTTAGATRTGCAGCTCATCCTCAGAACCTGCTAAAAGCCCTCTGACTTGAGATTTAACATCAATTGTTTGCATGACTGGGATGCAGCTGAGAGATTTCTGACCCTATTGATTGTAAGTGTGTGGTAGACCTTAGTGGGAGAAACACTAAGAAATGCTGCTGCTCAGGTTTCCTACCCTTTGTTGCTTTATGACTTCTGTGTCCTCTATAATCAGACTGAACAAAAAGGAATTAATAGTTTCATGGCCTTGAGCTAGCCAAACAGCCCAGCCACACAGCAGCAAACAGCTCAGGGAAGCTTTAGCCAGCTCAGCCTGTCACTGTGGTGGGTTMCTGCTGCTGCAGCATCTGCAGCTCCCTGATACTCTTGGCTAGGATTGGGCTGGCCCGTTCCCACGCTCAGCCCTAATCTCCTTTGACGTTCTCTCAGCTCGAATCAGAGCAGTGTTGCTCCCAGCCTCTCACCTTGCCATCAATGGTGACTGCAGCAAACACTGTGGAGGAGTAAGTAGACCACGCAACATCCCCTACAGCAGTGCCCAGGTCATAAATAAACATCGGAGTCCTATAAAAAATACACACAGAGGAGAGTTCATTTAAACAAGTGCCACTCTGGAAGTGTAACACTGAGCTATGAACACTTGGATGTTGCAGAAGTGGGAGATGGAGTGTTTCTCCATGTCAGACAACAGCCAGAGTCTGAGACAAAGGCAAAGCTGAGCACCAGTACAAATGGGTCAGGATKTGACCTCCTGCAATGAGAAGTAGCATGTTTCTTTTTTTCTAAAAGCATAATGAAAGGTTCTTCCCAACACTCACAGCAAGATGGAGTCTCTATGGTTAATATTAATAATCATATGGGAAAAAATTATCTCYCTTCTCTGGACTTCTGACAACAACATTGAATATTAGAGCAATATTGGCAACAGGAAATATGTGACTCTGACTGATTTACAAGAAAATCAATTTCCTGATTGAAACCAGACATTTCTTAACCACTAACCCTGAACTTCACTCCATATTTTATAGTGTTGCAATTGTTTTTNAGTGGAAGATTATCCCACAGGTTGTGAACTTGGCCCACTTTCTGCTGATCAGTTTTCTTTGGTCAAGTTTCTTGGCAGTTTTTTTGTTTTGTTTTTTTTTTTTTTTTTTTTTTTGCTTTTCTCTTAGGAGAAAAGAGCTTTAGGCTCTTAGGAGGTTTCTGGCCCCAGAGGCTAGAAGCCAGTCCCTGACGTTTCTCTGTAGCACTGCTCTGCGATGGTAGGTTCTGCCTGAAGGAAGCCAGGTCTGAAATAAAGCAGTCAGCCTCTGTACTAAGCTTCACGGCTTGGCAAGTTCCTGTGGCAGCTGATGCTAAATCTTACATCTCATACCTGAGGAGTACCAATCTGAGTACCAGACATAAAAAAAGCAATTAGCATTATCAACACCTGGGAGGGAAACTGAGACTGAGGTTTGAGCAGAGTCAACATGTGCAGCTGGTGTGTCACACTGGACCTCATCACCCACACCATGACCCAGCAGGACCTACTTGATGGTGTGATCCCAGATCTTGACTGTCCAGTCAGAGCTGCAGGAAATGAAGACTTTCAAGTGGAAGGGACTCCAGCTGAGTGAATCCACAGGCATGTGATGGGCTTCAAACACATCCAGAAACTGGCTTGAATAGCTTTTTGAACACTGCAATGGAAAGAACTAGTCAGTAATMTGCACTAGACCTCCTGAAGCTTAAATTCCTGCAGAAAGATACCTCTGAATACTCGTTTGTCCTCCCAGAATCCTTTGGGCTGGCTGGGAAGAGGTGCCTGGTACCCWGAAGTGCTACAGAAAATCAATAATTTAGCACATGCTGTTTCACCCCACTTGCAGGCAGCATCTTGTCTCCCTCTGCAATACACCAAGACAGGAATTAAAGTCGGTTGTGTTTAAACAGCTAGACCCCAGAGACCATTCTCCACTGTAGGAGCTAMACTGCCTTCCTGCCAGCCCGGGCTCCTGCTGTGCTTCTCCTGTGTGAAAGGTTCACTAGAAAGGCAGGGAAGAACATTGCCAGTGCAGCTCAGGAGCACCAACAACACTGACAACACYGTGTGCTGCTCAGGAGCACAAATACTCACAGCACCGGGTGCATTTGAAGTGTCACAATTAAACCTCCATTAATGGTGCTGTTGGCACAAGAATGTCCAACCAGACCCTTTGACCCTAAGGACTTTGGAAATTCTGTAAGTCCTTTCCCTGCCACTTCCCTGGACAGCCTTCTTAGAGAGCCTTCCCCGTCATATTACTCTGCAATTCCTTCTGTTGTGCCACTCGTGACTTCCCAGAGGGATGTGAGAACCACAGAGGTTGTCCAGGAGTCAGGCATGTCCCCAACAGGCCAGGGGCCCCACTGAACGGCAGCCAACAGCAGCCTGTGAGCTGGACAACGCCTACACACATGTGCAAGGGTCAGAGCAGCAAAATCACAGCTGCGGGTGCTGCTGAATGGCAAAATGTGGGATCTTTGCAAGAACTGGAAGATGTTTGGGAGCCTTGGAAAAGTCACTTTGTGTGAGTTTATGATGCAGGGAAAAATTACAATCTAATTGGCTGCAAGAGGACTTGATCCAGATCCTGTCAGTTCTGTGGACATGGAAATACTAGGTTATCCTCCCCAAACCTCCTCCYCTCCAAGCACATTAGAGTCTTCCTTCACTAGCAACAAGGACCACATCTCACATGAAATGTCCTTTTGCTTGTGTTCTCACACACAGCAGCTTGGAGTTGGTTTCAGGATTTTCTGTTTGTTTGCCTCAGTACTGCCACAGCAATGACTTTTCAGCACCTTTCATTACTCCCTACTGGATGCAGTACCACATCATCTGCCCAAGCAGCAGGATTGCTGAAGCATTACATGACTTTAATTCTTTCAAACCAAATATCTAACTAATCACAAGGCTTAACTGTTTATTACAAGTGACACTGTCTAGGTACTCAGACCTGTTCACTGGTGCAGGTACTGGAATAAGGGTGCTGAACCATTCCCAAAGCAGCAGCTCCTACATCCCTGAGACGCTTGTTGCGGTAGGAAATGGCAACAAGAAAGCGACTCATGTCCCACTGAGATTTTATTACAGCTTGCTAATAGTTTGTTGCACACTCTGAGTTGCTGTCCCTGCATTAATTGTGGGACAGAAATCTCCTTTAATGTCATGTTTCATAACGTTACTTCATAATTCTCGATGTTCAGCCATCAGGAAGATCAGTACTTGGCTTGTTTTGACAGTCACTTTGCTGGAAACAGACAGAACAGGTCACAAGTAATTAACACAAGAGAGAAGCTGCTTTATCCATCTGTCCTTTCAAGTGTGTGGATTAAAGGTCCCTAATACCTGAGAACTTTGAAGAGCAAGATTTAAACAGATTTGTCTGCCTCCAACAGAGCTGTAATGTTCAGCACCCTGTTTTCAAAGGTTTGCGGGGGTGAACCCTTGATCAGTGCAGCTCTCTGGGCACTGGAACTGGAGATGCCCTGGGATGTACTGATCCACAGCACTGGCTTTGCAGTCTCCATGACAGGACAGATAGCTGCATTTTTATTTTTTTTTTCTATGAAATCAGCAGCAAAAAGGTTTATGTAGGGCAGATTCCCACTCATGTCCCTTGTGAGAAATGAACCTTGCATGCCTGCTTTACCCTAAAGGTGCCAGGCCCTCACCACATTCACCACCATATCATCATCTCTGAGTGCAAGACAGGGCTGTTTTCTGCCCAAGATGCATTTTTAAGAAAYACCACAAACTTGAGAAAAAGCTCAGAAAATAAGTATGACTTCAACAAATAAAAAGTTTCTGAGCTAACTAAAACTGTTGGTAAAGTCTTCCCCTACTATTCAGTTCAGGAACCCTACAGTTATTAGATATGTCAGGATGAAAACAAAACCACTGGAATATGTGACACCTAAGTTCTGACAGGAGAGCTTTGAAGGAGATGACTTGATTCAGAGAGAAGGCATTTGTGCAGCCTGTCTGATCTTCTAGAGCACTGCTCCAACTTGCTGAGAGTATTTTTCTCCTACTTAAATGATGAGTTTAAATGATAAATGGTATTTTTATGATGAGACAGAAAAACAAAAATACATCTATGGCAATACAGGAAACCAGTCAAAGATGACTGTCGACAGAGCTACAAAACAYGGGGGAGGAATACAGGGAGAAAAGGAGAACTCTGAGGACATATAACTTATGAATAATCTTCATTAACAGCACTTCAGTTTATGCTAGACATTATTCTGACAGAAAACTCTCCCACATACGTGGTGAATGGATGGTTATTAGCGTCCCTATAAGGTAGAGGGTTTCTTTCGTTCACTTACMGGAACAGAGAGAGTCTACACAATGTAGAAATCCAAAAAGGGTTGTTGTTTGGTGGTTTTTTTTTTCAGAGAAGGTTGTATCTGGCAGCAGAAAGACAGTACTGCCCAGCACTGGCACTCTCAGGCAGCTCAGGACATCCAGATGTTCTTCAGAAACCGACACAAACACCTCAGAAATGTCCCATGTTGTGGTGGGCAGACTGTCACCAGCTACACCAGAGGCTCTCCCTGGTTTTAGCTCAGTGACTGCTTGTAAAGATCAGTAACAGAAGTGCTAAGATTTGCAGAAGGGCTTACAAGTACAAACTGAGGCACAAGTAGAAACCAAGAATTAAGAGGAAATGGCAAAAGAAAGAACCTGTGGTGACTGATGATGCAGTCAGTCCAGGAACTAGAGAACGAGACAGAACACAGACAGAAGCTCCAAAGATAAGGTGAAAAAGATGAGGAGCAGACATAAAATACCCAGACAAGGAAAACAGCTTTGCCTAAGACAAAGCAAGACTAAACACTGAGATGAATGATCTCTTTATTACTAAAGGGTCACTGGAAGTCAGAGCCTGTCCAGAAACTAGTTTGTCATCCTCACTGAGTGAAAACACAAGAGATGTGATAAGGATTCAAGAGCCAGCAACCTTTGTCATCTGTAATAATAATAATCTGGTCCTGAACACAAAGATACAAATGTTCTGGTACATAGTATGAGAGAATGAGTATGAGTAAAATTAGTTTCGTTTAAAATTAGAATAACCTTTTCCTCTATTCAGTCTTTCACTAGGTTGTACTATATTCGTTACACTTCAAGAAAACTGCCTAAGACTGMAAAAACCCAAATCCCTTCTTACATGAGTATATTCAAATCTTCTCACAGTTTTTCTGTTGAAGGTCTGTTTATTGGAAATAGTTCTGACCAAAGACTTAAAGTCACAATGTTTCAACACAAATCTCAGAGACCATACTTTTTGAAAGCAAAGCTGAACAATTCCTGAACAGCAAGTAAGATATGCAAAAAAAAGCATTCAGAATTGCATTACAGAATCATATTAATGCAGAAACAGTTTCTCCTCTACAAAAAAGGGCAATACATAGGTCTGAGTGTAATTTAGATAATGATTTCTTGGCTTCAGAAACACTATTAACTAAGCCTTTTTCAGAACTCCACCATAATTGTTCTGCAGCTAAAAAATTAACATATTATCATGCTATTTGAGGGCATGCCTGATCTCCGGAGTAATGAAAAAAAGTTTCCCTGGAATTYGCTTTCCTATTTATTTAATAAATAATCTAAAATTCGGCCGATGTAGAGAGCAGCTCATGTTTGATCCCTGATTCTGTCACTCAACATGCAAGTGCAGCAGAGAGATCTGAGCAGWTCAGTGCAGCCACAGGACACAGGCTACTGTAGGACTGTCCCTGCTCCCAGTATCCAAGTGGAGCAAGGCTGCACGAGGCAGTCCACAGGTAGCTCCAGTAATGGGTTCAGATGTGCAGTGTTTCAATAAAGTATGCGACAMAGGTGCGTGGTAGTCCTTGAAAAATGCCTGGAGCAGCAGCTGACCCCAAAACTTTTGAAACTGCTTATAGCAAACTCTTGGGGGATGCTAAAGGTGGAAGCATTCTTCCCCATGTTTTATGTATTTACAGTGGAAGCCTGCTCATGCTAGACACAAGATTTCCCTGTGTTAACCCTTACAATCTGACTGAAGAAAGGATCTTCCTGCCCACAGGAACTCCAGAGTTTTACAGGGCTGTGCTGCATGATGTGAGAGTGGTCACTTTTCACTGAGGCTCACCAAAGCAAAAATGTTGCTTACCACTAACCCTGACAAAGAAAGGAGAGATCCTATGTAATAGGATCTCTCTACATTTCTCTAGTTCTCAAGAGTTTTTCTACATTCTCAATAACTGCTAAAATATCTGCATGGCTTCATGGCTGGGATCACTTCTTGTGTTAAAACCCCATCCTAATTCTACTTTCACTGAAAATTGTCCAAGGCAGAAACACCTACAGCTTTTTCAATGCCAAATCCTCTCCTGTCCAGTGCTTCTCCATGAAGAGTTTCCTTTCCCATGCAACTCAGTCAAGAAACCATCCTCAATATTTTTTCTGATGGTCCCCACCTTGCCCTRGCATGCACTGCCACACTCACCTACATACATCACTCAGCCAAGCACAGAGGAAGTTAAAACATGGTTCCTAACTGCCTTTTGATCAGGACTAGACACAACAGTACCTATAAATTTAGAGTACAATAATCCAACTCCTGTGGATGACCAGAACATCTGCCCATGACTGTATGGATGTTTTGTGTCCTGAAAGCACCAACAGAGGAACAGTGCACCTACCCATTGCCCARCAGCTCATCTGCCCACTCCTCCCACCTCCCTTCTGTACCTGTCTTGTCCAAGGCAAGTGAGCACTACTCAGAAATCGTTCCTTGATACTGCCTGGCAGAGGGAGAGATTGCAATCAGCATCGTCCCTCTGCAAGGGATACATGTTTGTTAAATTCATCTTGCCTAAATGATTGATACTGAGTTCAGAATATGATTTCCTTTGGTCCTTATTCTGTTTCAGATTCATTTCGCAGGTGGGATATGGGGGAAGGATATCATCCTCTAGGGATGGCTGTAATCATCTGACATGCTCTGCATTGCTGATTGTCCACTCCCCAAGCTGAAGGGCTGTGGCTACAGATCAAACATAGCCCCAGAGGCAGCTGAGAGGAATGCTGTGCAAATAACAGTTGTATTAGTAAGAAGCAACTGGCTGTATTTTCAAGGCTAAATACAGCAGAACTCAAAACTTCCTATTTTTAACTTGATTTCTCAAGAAAATATGAYGCCTGTGTCCTTCTATGTGTTTGTCTCTCTTCACAAACAACTCTTGCCCTCACTGGCATTTTCAGCCAAAGCTAGCTGCATGTGGGATGTGGTAACATTAAGGTCTTAACATTCTGTGAAAAGTGATGGCCACAGCGTATAGAACATTGGCAGTGCTGCCAGTGCAAGAAGGGCTAGCACAGCTCCAGCCTGGCACTGAGAACCAAGGCACCAGGCTGCAGGAGGGCACTGGAGGGGAGGTAGCCAGCACTGCCTGCAGGAACAGAGGTTATAGCATGGAGGTGGGATCACTGAGCTGGGAACAGCCTGTGGCAATCAGCTGGAGGAGGGTTTGAGTATGAGCAAAGAACTGGAGATAGTAGAGAAGGAGAAAGTGGGACTGTGAAAAGGATGTGGAAAGATCTTAGATGTCTTTTCACACCTGAATGATTCTATGATTCTATGATTCTATGTACTTGTGGAAGGGAAGGGCTGCAGGACACTGATCCATAGAAAATATGGCTTCATTAGCCTCACTGCTCTTAGGATAACAGGTCTAAAAAGAAAAAGAGCTGACATTTTTCCTGCCATTTCCCCATAGTCAAGGGGACAGAGGATCAATGCCTTTTAACTTCTGCTCTGATCCTACTTAGCACTTCACTTGCACAGCTGCAATCTGCAAAGCATTTTCTGGGATGCAGTTTGCATGAAAAATGTTTCTGCAAAAATTAAAGTCTTAATTGGGTCTGTGCAGAGAGCTCCCTGTGACCGTCTACAGAGCTGGTCTGGTCYAAGGCTCACCACAGGCATCCCAGGGCAGGACCAGGCTCTGAAGCTGAACTTTGTTACCCCCTGAGCAAAGAGTTCAGATGAYGAGCCTGAAAGATGTAAAGCAACGTAAAACAAATGATAAAGAAATAATTCTTACCTTATAGATCTTTCCCTCTTCAGTACCAACGAGAAACAAATAATCTATCTTTCTGTGAAAATCAAAAGATACCCCGCAGCCTGGAACAAAAGAAAGGTCAGTCACACAGAGAATTGTTTCAGCTGGCCAGCACATGTTCCCTGTCTACAGTAAACACACAATGCCTGTGTTATCAGAAGTCATTTATTAGCCAAAAGSTCCCAAAAGAAATCAAAGCGACCCCTTCTTTCCAAGCTGTACCTATCCCCAAGACCTGCAATTCAAAAAGCCAACACAGAGAAAGTGRAAAAGGGAACCAAAGAACCAGAAGGGAACTGGAAAACCAATTTAGCCTAGGATTCATTTTGGTGAGAATTAAAAATGCCTGGTGCAAATATAAACATTGTGAGGACCACCTCCTATTGGGGTAAAACTTATCTTTCCTGTTTGTTTAGTAATCACATTAATGTAAGTGGTTTACTATGCATAAAAGAGTCCAGTGATAAAACATCACATGATACTTCCAGTGATATTTTTTCCCTTAATTCAGAATCCTTTTAGCAGGCTCAATTCAGAAAAGCCAATAGCAAAGAATGAGATTTTGGAAGAAATCCTCTGCTAGGGACAGAAGGATGCTGTTAATGTTGAAAGCCCTGAATTGTGCAACTATGTTTAAAACAGGTGTCAACCACAAACAGGATGTGACTCATTGAGATTTTGTGGCTTCTGCTCCTGAGGCAGATGCATCACCATCCAAGAAAGCCAGTCCACATGCTGGTGAGAGAAACTTTCAGCAGGGTTCTTGAGCAGAAGATGGAATGTCTGTCAAGTGCCAGAGCTACCTGAGGACGTCCCAACCAGCAGAGACACCCACAGCAACCATCAGACAAGAAAGGGAAACAAGCAAGGGAGGCTCAGAAGCACAGAGTTAGACAAACTTTCTGCACAGGCAGAGTTGTCTTATTCATTATGTCTTTAACATTAACAAAATGTAGTTCTCAAAGGAATTGTTACGGTAATTTCAACTCTCTAATACCATCTGCATTTTTAACATTCAAATAGATTGTTAAATATTCAAGACAAGCCTTTGAAAATCCATTTCCCAGCAACACTAACAAATAATCCCAAAACCCCTGAGAGTTCTGTAGTGTRCTGCTTTAGCTGGTTTCTTGCAACTTATGTGGTACTGCAAAGCTTCCCACAGACCGTTCAGCAGTTATTGGCCTAGAAACACAGCAATTCTTAAATGCACAGCAAGGCTCTCCTCCAAACACAAGCCCATCTTCTCAGCCAAAAGCAGGTGTAGAAGRATGATAAGAGGATTCCTCAAGGACTTCCTTGTGTTAATTCAGGACCTCCAGAGCTGACTCATACCACCCTATCTCAAATGCAGGACGATCAGGATGAGAGGATTCAGCCTAGAAGGACTGCACTGACTCCACTTTGCATGGAGGGAACCTAACAGAGTAGCTCAAAATAGATGCTGTGTTTTCACAGAGCCCAAACTCAATGAGGCACATCCCAAAGCTGGCTGAGTGAGCTATGCACCCAGGAAAGGGCAGAGGTTGCTTTTCACCTTGATTTTGCCAGTCCAGATCAAYGTCTGACAGAAAAACACTGAGTTTTGACATAAACAGGTAATGCCTGTGCCTTATTCACACAGAGATAGCCCAGTAAAATTGATGTTTTTTGGATTAATGTTCAATTCATCTTTTTATGCAAGTAAAGGCAATAYGTAACCAGCAAAACTTGACTCACTTAGTGGCCATTGCTCCAGACAGACTTTGCCCTGACACACGATGAAAGCAAGGAGGCGTAGCCTTCCTTTAATTTCTTTCCATCTCAATACCCTGCTCCCAATTTAAYTTCCCAGAATGACTGATTAGAGGCTTTGTGTCAGTAATTAATCAGCATGGCAAGGACTTGGGCTCTTACCAAGCGTTTCCAGCTGCAGCCCCTCTGGCCCCTGCTTCACTGCTCCGTCTCCTGACAGCTTGATGACATCCATGTGAACCAGCTCATTCTGCAGGCAGAGGAGATTCCACATGAATAGCATGCTTTGCAGCAACAATACAGAGACATTCAGTACTTTGAAACGGCAAATTTTATGGAGGAATTTTAAAAAGCTGTCCAGAAGTTGTTTCACATTTGGCAACTTGCTAACATGYTGCTTTCCATAAAACCTTCAGGAAACTGATGCTTTGGTGCAGTGGAACTGAGAGCCACCAGTGCATTACCTCGACCTKTGCACTTGACCTGGGTCATTCTGGGATTTGGGGTCAATGTTTGTTAATAGAGGTTGAMAGAGTCAGCTTAAATTATGGTTTAGTTAAATCATCCTGTGTGGTTAAACATGGATATTCATATCCTCATGGAGCTAACTAATGCCCCACACTAATTAATAGYAACTTATCATCTTGCCAGTCCTTGCTTCTTAACATCTTCTTGTTATCCCCAGAGCAGCCTCAGTACCCAATACTCACAATTTCATGGGTTCTGAGATTCAAGAAACAGTATCTAGCAGGCAGCTTCCCCCAGGACAAAATGCCCCATGTTTCTGCTCTCAGCAGAGCCCTGAAGAGCCCCCATGACGCTGCTGTGCAAGGTGGTGTGTGAACACTGGGCCAAAAGGCTGTGTCCCAAAGTTTACAGTCAAGGTAGGAGACAGRAAACACATTAAAATAGACAATGCGGGTAAATACAAAGAAACTTAACCAGAGTTAAAGGTCCATTCTCAGACTAGTTTTGGGAGTTAAAATGCCCCTGCAGAATGGAGTTAGTTGTGAATACAAGAACACTCTGGGGCTTCAGAGGTCTCTTCYAACTCCAGCTGCTCTGTAATTCTCTGATGATGTGGTAAAAAGAACAAACAAATAATGATTAGTGAACAGTGTGGGCTGTGGACTGGATGTTTTAATGAATCTGCAAACTTTCCAATGAAGCACTGTGGGAACAAAACAAAACTTCTTAGCTCAGTAAGCTTTAGTTGAAGTTTCTCTTAGCCCAGAACAGGACTCAGATGGAAAAAGGGATTCTGCCTGGTGGAATCAACACCAGGAGTTTCCATGTTGGGGAATATGGGAGAAGACCTTGTGAACACCTCTTCAGTACTTGCAGTTCAGAGGGAGCAAGATTCTGCAAGACATTTTTATCATATTCTGGGTGTATAAATTCACAGAAGGTTCAAGAAAGGTCAGAACCCATAAAGTAATGTACTTCCCTCTTACTAGTTCTCACTACAGCACGCCCACATGCTCTGGCCTATTGATGGCAGTAAATTGGTCTCTCAGAGAGCAGCAAAAAACAGGACAGACTTGTGCAGAGCTCCTGCTTAGTGACTCTTCTTACAGCACGTTGGTTACAAATCTGATTCAGTGGGTAAAGACAGGAGTGGTGCTGAGAAAGAGGCCACACATGCTGGTGTACCTGTGCAAGAAATRGAAAGAGCAGTGCCCAGAGCAACCAGGAGCAGAGCACATTCCACTGTGCATCCAAACAGGAATGCTGGCAGGCTTTTGGGAATGCAGTCAGGACAAGCTAAGCAGGCACTTGCCCCTGCTCAGGCTCCTAACTCTGCCTGCTCTCCAGAGAGTGTGTGCCCTGTCCAAGACACGAGTCTGGTCTGAAGAGCAGCTTTGGAGCTCTCTGCAGCTGGGCATGTTGATATATCCTGTGTGTCAGAAGTGTGCTAACATGCTATCTCTGCATTCTGGTAGAAAGACAAACCTTGAGATCTTATTTCTAAGCACACRTCTTTCTGCAGCCTTCCTCTGAAGATGACTCCCAGCATTTTCACCTGGCAGAGGCCCCTCYGGACAGTTTCTGCAGCCCCTCTCCTTCACAAAGGACCCTCCTTGTGCAGACTCCCCTGCTGTGCTGGTTTTATCTTTTACCCAGCTTCACAACATGAAAAACGCTTCTTTTCCTGGGGCTCTTTGTCACCAGAGTCATTCACATATCCCTCTGGGTAAACAGCCTGCTGGCAATTTGGCCTTCCAGGAATACTGAGCAATAATATGTTGTTTCTGCCTAACAGTTKTGGAGCACTTTGTAAGCATTAGTGAATCAGACCTTACAGCTGCTGTTTTCCCTTTAGCTCTTATTAGCCTTAAGTGATGAAGGAGGCCCAGAGCTGCTCAGCAATTTAGCTGTAGGTCACACAGGAGGGGGTGAACTACAACTACTAATCAAACCTGGGATTGCTGAGCATCAGCCTGAGAAGCAATGCCATGCTGCATGCCAAATAATTCTTTTAAGCAGCTGTGACATTTCTCTCCATTTTGATAGGCAATGTGTGCACCCAATGTGGGGCAGTGGAATCATCCAGAGGTAGAAGTCCTGCATCCTTTCTTGATGTTTTGCACCTTTAAGATGACCCAAGGTCAAGTTGAGATAGTCTAAATACACAAAACTCATGTGCTTTTTCATGAAATTTGTCCAATGTGATTRTGCCCATTTCTAACAGAGACAACCACTATGGTCAAGGCAGATCAAATGTCCCTGGCTAACATTTGACAGCCCTTCTATGCAAATCTTGAGTGTGGTTTGCCAAATATTCAGCTGGAAGAAAGAATGAAATTATTCACTTTGTGTTCTCTCTCCAGCTTTGGAAGTGTCAAACAGCTACCASTGTTTGAAGAAGCTCTATTTCTGGATAGTCCTGTCAAAAAGATTAACAAAGCAGTCTTTCATTTATTCCCTATTTGCACTATGGTTTTGTAGAATAGAAGACCTCTGGAGTGTCCTCTGTTTCATTCTAAATGAAACCCAAAGAAAGTTCTTGTAAAGCTGGAATTCAAGCAGATTGTCCATTTCTCCTCATGGGATAAGTAAAAACATAGATTATAACAAAACACTCTTTTCATCCTGTTTCTTGCTTTGCCTGTTGAATCCCTGTCCCCCAAAAATTGTACAAAGCAGACAGCACCTAAAATTTTGCTGTTTTCTACCCTTGCCTAATAGGCACATACTACTTCTGGCAATTTCAGACATAATTTTACTTTAAAAAATAACTTAAAATAGTGTTTTCACTATGGCCAAGTATGGGTAKGGCCAAGTTCATAACAGTAATGCAAATAGGTAGAAATAATACCATGTTAAGTGGATGCAGATCTTAGAAGTCACACCAAGGATAATTAGAAAGAAGTATCTATGTGCTCAAGGGACAGAAAAAACACCATTTATGGTGTGGGAATGCTGTTAAGCACTGGTGCAAAAGACCCTGCCCTGCATGATCTGCTATCAGAGTCCATCTGCAGACTCTTAGGTTGTCCCAGTTGTGTTTTTTCTCAGAGAAAGGGACTTCACCCAGTGTTTCCTCCCTCSTAAGGGGACCATGCTGAGCACACTCAGTTACTGGGGCTCAGTTGGCAAGCATACCCTGCCAAATCACCTCAGGTGGATGTGTTTGACTGCAGGCATGTGCTGTTCACTTCAATACCAACCTTTTGGGCACCCCTATTCAGGGGATAAAATAGGAGTTGAGTACTGGGACACTCTTAGTCTGTCCCTGTCTAGGGAGCTCTTTTAGGAAAAGGACTTGGGACACACTTGCAGAAGGGATTTTTGATTCTGAAGCTGCATGTATGAACCTGGAAAAGTCTATTAAAAAATAACTTCAAAATCTGGGCCAACTGCATGTGCTTACACTTCATCAGGAGACACTCCTGTTCTTGAACTGAACACAAGGTTAAGATTTACATCTAATGCTAGAAATTAATCCCTGCCATGGCAGCAAGGCCTAAAAATTTCAGAACAGGCAAGCCTTGATAGCTTGGTATAACAGATTGAAAAATTAGTATCCTAGGACACAAAGAAATTTCTTCTTTTGTTGGGGAATAATGGGACAGCTGCTTCAAACTCTTATTTAGGGCAATACAATTATTTTTTAGCAAGAGATTTGAAATCTTCAAAYGTAAAATGAAATAGCCAACAGAAAAAAAACCATATTAGGATTCAGAGACATAAATCTAAGGGTCATTTTGGGATAGTAATTCTAGGTTTCTATCAACATATTTAAATATACCCCAAAATGAAAAGTGAACAAAGGCACGGCATGCAAACTAATTTAAAAAAGTTGTATCGAGTGTGAGCTGGCAATGTCATGGCAGGGAGAAACCCTCTGTCTGTCTGATAGCATGCTGCCATCCCACTGCAAATGTGAGTTTACTCTCTACTACTCGTTCTGTCCCACATGGGGAGAAATTTAAATTGATCATCTCCCATTCCGAATTGCAATCTGTAGGGGAGCATTTTGGGGATGAGAATCTTGAAGCTGTGGAATAAATCATTCTGCTCTGTCTCTGGCTGATCCTTCTGGGACAAAGAAAGTTTGAGGACAAGAAGCAGTCYTGAATTCCTGCTGCTGCCAAGCAGGATACTGTTTTCTCATTTTCAGGCCCATGGGATRCTACAGGTGCAGGCAGGATGAAGGTTAGGACCTGACAAGGAGTAGGCTGACTGCTTCATTTCAGAGTTTAACATGGAGCTCCAGATCCAGCTGTGACTGCACCACCTGCTATTGCTAACATTTCTTTTCAAACCTGGCTCATCAGAAACAAAAATAACACTAATGAATCACTGAACTTTTGAGGCAATTGGTTATAATTTGACTGGAAAAAGAAACTGTCACCCACTGTTTACCTTAACTAAAGTCCACGAAACAATCCGCCCATCCGAGGAGACGGAGAAGAAGTTGGCATTGCCGTCCATGTCATCCTTCTGCCACTTGACCTTAAAACAAAAAGAAATGAAAAGACAGTCCCAGACAGCACAGGGCATTCAACATTAGTAGAACAGAGTCTCATGGCCTCAGTGACGTCTTCTGAAATCCTTCCTAAGGAGCAGCTGGTTTGCACCCCTGAGGCTTGCATGTGTGAACACTTCTCTCCACCCACAGTTTGAGAATTGTCCCCAGCACTCCTGTCCATCAGTCTCCTGCAGGATACTCCAGCGAGGGGATAAAGACACCTCCAAACACCACCAGTGGTGCCACACAAAGGTCTTCAAACACCAGCCTTGCCCTTCACATTTGACTAATTCCTCCAAGAGTGGTGCCATATGGCTTCCCTTCAGCGAGACAACCTCAAATTAGCTTTCTGCCCCTATGAGGATTGCAAGCAAGCCCTTGCAAGCAACATGTGACATGGGTCCTTGGGGCACTTCTGTTTCAGGGAGGTGAAAACTTCTTCATTGAAACAGAAATCCTCCCTACACCTTCAGAGCATCTGTCTGCCTGGTAAGGAGATTTGCCTTTTGACTGTGACAGCTCAGCAGGAGAGATTAGAACTCAGATAAATGGCTTACAGTTTAGAAGAGACATTTCAGTTAGACCAAAAGCATTAAGAACGCTCGATTTTCAGATCTGGGAATTCAATCAGACTGAAGGGAAAAGAATGACTTGTCACTGGGTCTGTCAGCACACACTCCTGTTGGCATCTGTCAGTTCAGGATGGGGACAAGCACTTTAGAAGGTTCTGTGGAGCTTTTCAAAGGTATATCTGTTCCTGTTCAAGCAGTGGAGCAGATAAAGTACCCTAAACATCRTCCCATAGACATGATAAATGGGTATGATTATCCCAGAGCTTACCAAATACTCTATCCATGACCACTTACGTAATGCATACCTATTCCAGAAAACAAACAGCATTCTCAATACTTTAATTACACAGATTGGATATACCTATGACAGTTCCTTGGGCAAAACTGTTAATTCTCTTTTGTAAAATTGCTCATACTGTGAAGTTCTGTGGAGCATGAAAATTAAGCAAGAGACTCAACAAAGAGTAGTTAACCCTCCACTGAACAGGTTTCCTTCCTGTTCACAGGAAGGAAAARTACAATGTAAAAGGAATCCATCTGAGAATACATCAAAATGCTAGTTTCATGCTTGTAAGATACAACTGAAGAGCTCTGAGTGGCATATACCTTTGAACATCCTTGCCCAGCTGAAATTGTAAGTCACCATGTAGAACTACTTCTGTTATCTGGCTTTAAAGGAATGTAGAACTACTTCTGCTATCTGGCTTTTAATTTAATATGACCCAAAATAAAATGGTTAATGAATAAAAGGCAAGTTTAACAGGACAGTGATTGCCAAGGCTGACCCGTTGTGCACAAAATGTTCTGGATATATCTATTCCAGGAACTTCTCCCTAGGATCATGAGCTACTGCTGGCAGCGACAGTCACCAGCAGCTCCTTCAGATGAAGGAGTTGGTGCAGTGAGGAGTTTTAATTCAAGGTGAGAAATGCAGAGCTCAGGGGAACTGGTTATAAAAACATGTCCAATATGCCTCATCCTGGGCACAGTAAAAGGGTCATGCTTTGAAAGCAGATTTTTTAAATGTCACTCTAAAATTGTCTGACAGCACAGTGTTTCTATGCGTATGTCCAGCACAGTTTTTCTCTGAATCATGTTCTTTCTCTTCAGTTTGCCTTTCTAATATTTGAGAAAAACTTCCCAGCCCATCATACCAGTGGGAAATGGATGAAGGTTTAGCAGCTATGGCCCATCCCCATCATCCTGTGCAGATACAACTCCTGAGTCCTGAYGTCTACATCAACACAAAGTGTTGCAAGAACCTTGTCTGGAGGGGACCAACAGCACAAGAGCTATCATAAGCTCATGGGAGCTTTATCCAACCTAATTCCTTTCAGCATTTCCAAAGCAAAGAGCTTTACCCAGGGTCTGCCCACTCCAAATGCCCTCTTTCTGATGGAGAYCTATACAAGTTTTCTAATGTCAGTATTCAGTTAGGCATCACAGATACTTCCCTTCCCTTCCTCCATTACATAGATAGGTGGAGTCACCAGCCCCAAAAAGCAAGCAGRCTGATTTGCTTGGGGTACTCTTGCTCCAATATTCAAAGCAGTCAGCAGTACTTGAGTTAGGTACTTTTTGTACAGATTGAAAAACAGACTCTCAGGGACACAAGGCTCTGCCCTCAGATGACTATTAACAGCTCTCAGTGATGTTAGCTTGAATTTCAGAAACCCGAAATTGGCACTTAATACTTTCAATTTTCCTTCAACAACTCTGACACCTTAATCGTGTTTGTGATCTTTTTCCTCCTGATCTCTGAATCCCGTAAATGCTTATTAGAGTAATTAGCCCTCATGATACTGCAATCAAATCGGGCATCTGCTCAGAACTGGCCTTTTCTCTGCTCCCACAGGCTTGTCAACATGGCACAACCTTCTGTCATTAGCAGTATCCGTGCTGTGAGGGGTGGAGCATTTGAGGAGAGAATCAGGCAACTGTCTGCACAGTGGCAAGAAGTTAATTCTTCCCCTGAAGCATCAGATAATCAACCAAGGATTTTTGGCTGTGTGAAACAATTTAGAGCAAAAGTTCAATTATGATGCAGTAAGAGTAAAGAAGCATATGAGCAAGGATAGTGTGTGTAAACAGCAGAGAAGAGACAAGCAAATACGAAACAGCAGGCGGTTTCTGTCTCTGATCATGAAGAGAACTGTAACAAAAGCAAAACATTTTTTTTAGTGATCTTTAACCTGACTATTTTTGTAGTGCAAAATTAGTGTGTTAAACTCATCACTACAAGAACAGCCTACCATTTCAGATTTCTTAAAGCTTATTTATTTATAAAGAAGATGGGACTATTCAAAACATTATTTATGTACAGAAAAATAAATATTAAGGCCTGCATGTTCATTATTATGTACAGCAGGTTAGCAGGGTAATAATCCATTCATTTGTAGCAAGAGAATACTATCATTTTTATCTGTGGCATCTGGTAATGGCTCCTGTCCAGCAGGAGATTAGACCATTTATCCAATCTGATTTAAAAACACCCATGTTTCTGATGTCATCCCTATGAAAGAAGTAAMGCTTGATCCGTTTTCATGGGACAGAGGCTGTTAGTCACTTGCACTGACAGAATACAATTGGTCAAAATCACCCTGGCCAGGAGGCTGGCTGGARTGTGGTGCAGGCACCAGCTACTGCAAACACACATCTGGCTCGCCCTAGGCTTGCCAAAACTCKGATGTGGGGTGCCACATGCAACATATGCACATCAACTGATGAGCAATTTCTTYCCTTTCTATTAATTATCTCTCAAGGGCTCCTTTGTCAGCATTGCAGTACCATGGCCCTGCTGACACCTGCCCTAAATGAAATAAGGCCAAATTTTTGTCACTCAGTGCCTGAAGAAGACTAACAAAATATTCCCCAGGTAGAGACRAGGACAGACAAAGGCATTATCAAATCCCCCCCCAGGTCACCCTTCCATGAACAGGACAGGCAAAACACTCAGATGATTCTGGCACACAAACAACTCCTCAGGCTGCTGAGGAAAGTTCATGTCAATATGACCTGGAGACAAATTCCTTCCAGTGCCAACTTGGCTACCAGTAYATTTCTAGGCAAAGCTGTCATGGCAATGCAGGATTTGGAAGGACCCAAAAAGCATATCTACTCTCCTCTGAGGCATGGCCAGACACTCCCCTGCCTCTGGTGACAATCCATTCAATAGGTTGCTCTCACAAGCCTTCAACARCAGGTACTCAACAACCTTCCCGTGGATACATCTGTGCTTAATTGCCCATATACAGATYTCCTTTGCCAAGAGCCAAGCCAATTACTCCTTACCATCTCCCCAGTGGATGCAAAGAACAATGTTTATTCCTTTTTATAATAGTCTTCAAAAGAGCAAGAGAAAGTTGTGTCATTGTTTCTTTCTCTTTTTACCCTCTTTTTTACCCCAATTCAAATCAATTGCCTCGACTGTTGCTTCCAGGCACTGCCTTCAGGACCCAAGTCTTCATCATCCCTCCTTTTCCCCTTCAGCCCAGCTCTGCAGCTGTGAACACATGGTACAGGGCCACCCTGAGGCAGGAGTTACAACCTTTCTCTCATATATTCTTGCTAATTAATTAGAATGACAGATGTCTTTCTGTAACAGCATTGCATTGCTGATCATTGGTGGTGATCTGCTGTGCTTCCCCTTGGGCACCCTGCTGCCGAACCAGCCATTTCTTACTTCGTATCTGTGCATTTAGTTTTCCCTCTCTAAATGCAGTATTTGCTCTTGTCTTTATTGAATTTCATCATATTGATTTTGGGCCTTTCTTGCAATTTATCAAGATAATTTTGAACATAATCATGTCCTGCAAAGTGCCTTGTCCTCCCGGGGGGGCTTTCCTATTCTGTAATTCGAGTTGTTAATGAAAGTATTGATCAAAAAAAAACCCAGAAGTGACAGTGGAGAGTCTCTCTTGAAGCACTTTCAGAGTCTGACAGTGAGCTCTATAACTGCTCTCTGAGCACACTGCCTGAGCCACCTAAGTAGCCTCTCTATGGTGATTTTACCTAAATCATATTTCTTTACTTTGGTTATATGTATGTCACTGTGTAAGCCTGGATCAAAAGCTTTAGTCAAGTCAAGATGGATAGAGGTGATAACCTTGATTGCCTCTCCCTTATTCATGAGGCCCATTTCTCCGGAAAAAAAAGGAAAGAAATAACACTGGCTCGATAATCTATTCTGGACAAATCCATGTCAGCTTCTCTGAATCACCTTATTATCTAGACATTTACCAACAGTGTTGTCATTTATTCAAGAGCTTTCCCAGTCTTYGAAATCGGTCTGACTGGTCAGTAATTCTCTGGGTCCAATTCCTATCATTTTCCTCCAGACATTTTTCCACTCCTTCCAGCTCTTCGAGATCTTTCCTCCTTTCCTTGGTTATGCTTGTCCTACAGGCCAGAGT